CTTTCACTTCACAAAATAATTTTAATCTTTGTGATTGTTTTCTGTTCAGATAAATTCTGGATCACGGTTAATATGAAACATACACTTAACGCCAATGTCAAACCGGTCACATTGTTTTTTCTTTCTGTGTTGTCTCAAAATCGTTACTAGCGACGTTTCAGACTAAATGAATACCATGTTTTCTTTTCCGCCAGCTCTGCATGACAGTCAATTTACCTCGTTTCTTCGTACTGGCTACTGCATGTCAGGAACATTGGTGGTTTTGATAGAACCGAATTGGATGGACATCTGAGAATTCTAACTTATTAGTTATTACACTGAAGGCGACACGTACTGACACATGTAGCGATGTAGGAGCGTGATAGATTTAGAAAGAGACTTTTTTTATTATATGCACGACTAATGATTCCAACCAAGTATTATTTAATCCTAAAGTTAGATTGAACGGAAATCGTATTACCAGATGCACCACTCGCTGAAAGTAACTCTGTCAAATTGCCACAATATTTCAAGATCCGTTCTCCAAGTCATACATGAGAAATTTTTTTCTTTTTTATTTTTCGGCTAATATTGGTTAAAACCAGTTACCGGTAAATACTTTACGGTTACGCTTACGGTTACGTGTTTTTTTTTTTTAATTTCAAATAACAATTTTGTTTCTGTTACGGTTACTGAAAATTTTCGTCCTTAAATTGTTTTCGGTTTCGGTTACGGTTTAAATCCCTGCTTTGCGTACCTAAATTGATAAAAGCTCCTAAAATTGCCTGCATGTGCACCATAATAGAATGTTCAGCATGCAGGCATAAACAAGGAGACCGCAGGAAAGCTGTCAAAGGTACTGAAATGACACTTCCCGACTGTGTGTACATCTAGCTGTGGCATCGAATTAGTTCTTGTTTTTGTTTGTTTTTATGTGGAGAAAATTATATAAAAATTATTTGACAGTTATCAAGCAATTATTTAAAAAAATAACTAAAAAATACCAAAACGTTGTTTAAGCATAATAATGAACAAGTATTGCAGAGTGCATAAAAATTCTAGACGGAATCAGATGGCGATGACTTGCACAAAAATCGCCGTGATGTCGCCTTTTCGGCACCGCATATCAGCTGGCTGTCTTCTGCGGTCTGAGCTTTGATCGACGCAGCAGCCCGTACGTACGGTATCGGGATGGATTGTTTGCAACTTGATATTTCAACCATACGCTTGAAAGTCTTCGGCATCAGGCGGCTGATCCGATTTTCTTTGGAACAAGATATGGCAAAGTATGGTTTGTCTAAAGCAGATATTTTCAGTCTAGACTTTGTCCAATTTGTTTTTTAACCGAATTTGACAAAAAATGGTTTGTTCGAACCGCATATTGTGTGTCTGGAATTCCTTCAATTGTACTTTGAACCGGACTCCAAACATCACGGTTTGTTCGAACCAATTAGGAAAATCACGGTTTGTGTGAACCGGAATTTGACTGTCTAGAAGTCCTTCAATTTGACTTTGAAGCGGATTGGGAAAATCACGGTTTGTGCGAACTGGAATCTGTCTGTCCGGAATTCCTCCAATTTGACTTTGAACCGGAATAGGAAATTCACGGTTAGAGCGAACCGGAATTTGCGTGTCCGGAATTCCTCCACTTTGACTTTGAACCGGATTAGGAAAATCACGGTATGAGCGAACCGGAATTCGCCGCTCCGGAATTCCTCCAATTTGACTTTGAACCGGATTTGAAAATTCACGGTTTGTGCGAACCGGAAGCCGCCTCTCCGGTGTGACTCCGGTTTGATCTTAGTCCGGATTTCAGTTTCCGGACTGATTTCAAACCGTTATTTTTGCTAGGGTCAAGTGCAAAGAATTAAAAAAAATCTAAGTTAGTGCAACGAAAAAAAAAAAACCGGAATCAAGGAATAGCAGAAAGGGAAAAAGAGGTACTATTGAATGTTGCTAGTCTAGCGGAGCGAACGTTATATTTTTTCTCTGTGTTTTTTTTTTATGTTCAGCTGGCCCCATTCACACCCTCCTTCGCTCACACGACCATCGACGTTGGCCGAAACGTATTTTGTGCGTGAATGAGCCTTGGGGGGAGACTGGCGTCCTTGCGCCAGATGTCCAAGCGTGACATGTAAGAGCAGTCTCCGCCCACCGCGCGTCAGCCTATAAAGTACCGCTGCTCGCAGTGAAAGGGCGCCACACTCATTGCTTTAAAGCATGTTAAGCTCTAATTATTACGCGCTCGAAAACGAGGAGGACAGGCAGCCGCTCTAAGCACGCCCGAGCAAAGAGAATATACTCGGGTGACTGCGCCTAAGATGGCTTCATTCCAGCTGTCGCTGTGTACCATTTTACGGAAATATCTTATCAATTTTGTTTTAAGTGTGTGCTCATGATGTAACAAAGTATGCATGTTAGATCTTATTTCAGGCAAAAAGTTAGGGTAGAATTTGGATTATTTATAAAAGAAGATGTGTGTTGGTGCAAGTGCAGGAACCGCAAGTTGCACACATTTTGGTCCTCATGTTATTAGCAATGGAAATGTCTTAGGCGGGAACTGAACTTTCCCAACTTATAGGAGGTAGCAGGCCTGGCGCCCTCGCGTTTCCCAACATCTTAAGTAACGCAGTATAACGTTTTGGTGACACTTTAAGAATAAGTTTTTTTAGGCTAACTGAGTTTAGGAAATGTATTAAGCAATTTTTTTTTCAAAACAATATCAAACTATTTGTTTTACAATATTTGACGCAGTTTAGCAAGGTCTTTACCTTGACCTGACCATACTTTTAAATTTAGTTACTACTTCAAGTTAATTATTCAAAAATCTTTGACACCCTAGTTTTCTGAACGTCAAATTCTATTAATTTTCTTATTAAACAAAATTAGCTTTCTTTGTGCGACGCGTAGTTTTTGAGCAACGATTTAGCCGGTGTTTGTTGACCCAACCTGTATGATATAGACAAGGACCTGTAGATCCTGCCAAGTGGACAGCCTCAACTCCCCTTCCTGGTGGCGTCAACATTTACTGTTTCGTTCCCATTCTTCAAGCTGCTTCAAAGCTATAGGGTCTATTCCTTTGACGTTAGACTGCTTTTTAATGTCGAGTAACTACACGCAAGCATGGCCGCCGAAAGCAAATGTGGTTATCTCATTGGCGATTTTGTTTTCCGTAGAGCTCAGAAATAAACGTTATGTTAGCGGCTAGGTTTGTGGCCGACGACTCAGCATCTGAATATACTCTAACGTAGAAAACGCTACTTTCTAAAAAAAAACAAAAAGAAAAAAGAAACAGCTGTTTCCCAAATTTTACAACGTAATTAGGATACAAGACATGTTCTCTTTCCCTTGTTCACTTATAATAAAATGCTAAAAGTTCTTAATCGCAGCAGCATCATGCCTTGATGACAGAGGCAACTGGCCTCCGGACATGCCGCGGAGACCCGTCTTGTGGCACGAAGCTTCGGCAGATTGCAACACACTTCGCTTAGAGAGCGCACCTGCAACTGCGGCGGGTCCTAGCTCACCAAGTGTGTCGAGTGAAAGCAACGGCCTTGCTTCAAACAATGTTTCAGCAAGTGACACAAGTTTTCATATACTTTCTATTTTATTGTTTGATTGTGGTATTTATTAGAAAAAAACACCACCTGTATCTTCAGCTGTGCATCTAATATAAACAAATAAATGGATTGTTTATCGACGGACCCACTGTTCTTTTAAATGTTTAGAATCCATCGGCTTTGCCCATGAAACTATTCCTGTATATTTATTTTCCCCTAGAGCACTCGGGAAGTCAATCACTAAAGTAAACAAATTGAGCTTGGTAATAAATTTCCGATATATTTTGTGACTCAAAAATAAAGTTGAGACATCACTATGTACATGACATCTCACAAGCAGACGTCAGGCTCAGTGCTACGTCACAGCTTTATTTTTACGGTGAAAATTTCCTGTACGTCTCAGTCGCCCTGTCTTTTTTCGTGGATCACGGTCCTGGATCCTCGGAAATACTCTGCGGGGAGGTGGATGACGGGGACATTTTTATACTCAGCAAAAAACGGGCCAGCTAGAAAACGGGCCGGCAAGACCAATCTTGTCACGGCAAATTTTGGAGCCACCTAAAAATGCACTGCAAACGGGCTGGCAATTTTAGGTGGCCCCAAAATTTGCCGTGACAAATTGGATCTCATTTGTCACGGCTATAGGTGGCTCCCTAGGTGGCCCCAGACTTAGAGTGTATGCAACGCTGGCGTGGGAAGGACAATACGCAAGCCTGGACACGGACTCCGAGTGCGAGCTCTGAATGACGGCCGACAGACAACCAGGGTAAGCGGGCCGGGCTTCCAGCTCTCGAGGTCGGCAACCGGGACGTACAGTAAACCCATTCGCTGTCTTCTCGTTGTGTTGTGTTACTCCCTGGGAGACGTGTGAAGCACGCACCGATCGGGCGGCGATTTTTATAGAGAGAGATTACCATAAAGGATACCACAAGCTCCAGGATTCTGGATCGCATAATAGAAGGGTAGTGCGCGCTCTAACGAACGACCTTCGCGGCCGCACCTGGACGCAGAACGCCACCCCTTCTCCAACATTCCCGAGGACACGCCTTTCGCTGACAACCTCAAGCCACGATCATTTGCCCCGCTGCCTGGGTGAACATCCGTACCATCGACAAAAGAGCAAGACAAGCCGTTGTTGATACCTGCTCAAGTAAGGTGCTGAAAAGGAAATGCGTTCTCCTCGAGGTGTCCAAGCAGGAACCAACGGTCACGGTGATCCCTGCTGAGTTGAGCTGAGTGCTTTATTTTTTTTCCAGAAAACGGACCGTTTTTGCTGGCAGGATGCCTGCATGTCACAGCCGATTGGGGGAAGGGGGGTTGGGAGGATAGGTAAAATATAAAGAAAGAAAAAAAGAAAGAGAGAGAAAAAAATACGGTCGCTTGTTATCGACACGCCGTGGCGCGGGGAGCGGCGCTGTGATGTCGTCATAGTGTTCGTAGATCATGGGCAGTCCTGGGCGTTCACATCACATCTTTGAGGCCGGTGCTAACCAAGTAGGTGGCCAGCGCACGGAGCGCCCGCTCTGTCCCGGCCCGGGGTAGCCCGGGTCGCAGCAACTCGTCCAGAGTGTCGCTGGGCCAGCCGAGGGCACCGTATGCGTGCCTCAAGTTCGCCCGCGCGTCTGAGAAGCGCGGGCAATGGCACATCAGGTGTTCTGCATCTCCGTGGGCGCCGCAGTGCCCGCAGCTGTCATCGCGGTCGGTCCTCCACCTCGCGCGTCCGGCGGGTGTGAAGCTGGAGCCGGTACGCAGGCGGTGCAGGTCGGCCGCCACGCCCCTCGTCAGCCGCCTGGGGAGCCTGGGAGGAAGCGGTCCGCGCTCGAGCTCGGGGTGGCTCAGCGCGACTCGCTGCCGCACAAGCAGACGTGCGTCCGCGAACGGCGGGACTGGCGAGAGGGGGCATCCAGGGTCGTCGTGGGCCCAGGCAGCCAGTTGGTCCGCCCTCTCGTTGCCGGACATTCCGCAGTGTGACGGTAGCCACTGGAAGGCGATGGTCCAGCCCTTGACCTGAAGCTCACTCACGCGCGCCACCACCTCCCTGGCCAGCTGCGGTGAACGGTCCGGGGAGCGGAGGAGGCCCAGCGCCGCCCTCGAGTCCGCCAGTACGACGACCCGAGCTGGCTCGTTCTCGTCGAGGAGGCGCAGGCCAAGCTGCAGCGCCGCGAGCTCTGCCGTGGTCGATGAGGCATGGAACGTCAGGCGCTCTGCAGCGGTCCTCCCTGTGTCCTCGCGGAACGCCGCTGCTGTCGCCGTCCTGGTGGAGTCGCGCACCGAGCCGTCAGTGTAGAGGCGTGCCCAGCCGTGGTAGCGCTCGTCACAGTGATGTTCTGTGAGCTGGCGTGCCACTGTTGGCTGGACGTTCCTCTTGGCACTCAGGATGCTCACCAACAGCTCAGCAACCACGACTGGCGGTTCATTCGGCGGAGGAGGTGCCGTGTAGCGGACTGGAGCGCCCGCGATGTCCAGCAGCCGCGTCAAGGTGTCGGCGAGCTGCGCCCGCCGCCCGCTGATGCATGCGACGAGGGATGCGGCGCTCGGTGTTTCTTGCATCCTAATGAGGTGCCGCAGTGCCCGCTCGCCCGCCGTGTTCTGGACTGTCTTTACCCCGGCCTCAGCCAGCGTCAGCCTCGATGAGGCGTGTCTCGGGACACCAAGGCACACTCGTAGTGCCACGCGCTGTGCCTGCTCGATGCGCCCCCACTGGTGCTCGGTGAGAGCGAGCAGGGGCAGCGCGTACAGGACCCGGGCCAGGGTAAGGCCGCGGGACAGCTGCAGCATCATTCGCTGTTCTGTGCCTCTGCGGGCTCCTCCAAGGAGGCGAAGGATGTTGGTGGTGGTCCGTGCCCCTCGTAGCGCGTCCCTCACCGCTGGCTCCCAGGTCACCCGGTCGTCCACTCTTAGGCTCAGGTACGTGGCCTCTCTCCGCAACTCCAGCGGTCGGCCATTGATGGAGCGGGTGAGGTCGAACGTTCGATGCGGGCCGTTGTAAAGGGCCACGGATTTAGGGGCCGGAGCGTCAGGCCGAGCGTGGCCAGGTAGTACTCCATGTTGCTGAGGGCGCGCTGGAGCTAGACTTGGACGAACCGTCTCCGCCCTCCGTGGTCGCTGACCCAGATCGCGACGTCATCCGCGTAGGTCGCGATCTGCAAGGGCACCTTGTATCGCGGCCCGACCCGCGCCGCCTGAGGGAGCGCCGCGAGAGCCACGCTAAAGAGAAGCGGGCTCAGCACGCTTCCCTGCGGCACCCCTCTCGTGAGCGTCCGCGGTGCGCTGTAGAAACCCGACGCCCGAAGCCTGGCCTCGCGCCCCTGAAGAAACGCTCGGACGTAGCGGAGTGCTCTCCCCCGCACGCCAAGTCGTGTGAGGGAGTCTACGATGGCGCTGTGGAGCACTCCGTCAAAAGCGCTGGCGATGTCGAGGAAGACCACCCCGTGGTCCTCCTCCTTGCTTTGCCGTCCTCAAGGGTCGTGGCGAGGTCCGCGATCGCGTCCGCCGTGCACCTCCCCCGCCGAAAGCCGGCGTAGCAGTCCGGCGGGGCTCCCACCGTCTCGAGGTGGTGCACCAGTCTGCACATCACAATCCTCTCGAGGAGTTTCCCGACGCACGAGGTGAGTGCGATCGGGCGGTAGGAGCTCAGCTGGTCCGCCGGCTTGCCTGGCTTCAGCACCGGGACGACGGTCGCTGTCCTCCACTCCGGGGGGAGGACCGCGGATCGCCAGGCCTCGTTGAGGTGGGCCAGGAGGTCTGGATGGGCGCTCTCGTTCAGGTTCCTCAGGGCAGCGTTGGTGATGCCGTTCGGGCCGGGGGCGGAGCGCCTGCGGGGCAGGGCTCCGATGGCGCGTCGCAGCTCGTACATCTGCAGGTCCCCTTGGCCTCCGACCATCTCGTCCGCTGTCGGGGGGGCCAAGCGTGACCACTGGCGTGGGCGCTTGGCGGGGCTCGGCGGCAGGGAGGGCGGGGCGAGGAGCGCGTCGGCCGCCATTTCGACGGCGTCCTGTGTCGGAATGTGCAGCCGAAAGAGAGAGATAACCCTGTTGGAAAATCGATGATGGAAAGATGACGGAAAAGGCTCATACAAGCGTAACCGTAATATGGGACATCCTATACAAGCGAATCGGCAGATCAAGTATTGTGGATTAAGGCGGAACGATACAGGTAGGCGGAACCATATAAGCGTGTCGTATTATGGGACATCCTACACCAGCGTAGTGAAATATTGCGGAACCATGTGGAACTATACATGCATAACGTAATATGGGACAACCTATACCAGCGAAAAGGCGATACCAGCACGGTGGAGCCATATGGCTCCAACATGCTGGTTTCGCCTTTTCACTGTTGTACAGGGCGATTTAGTTTTAAGCTTTACATATATGTTTAGAAAGGTCGTGAAAGCTAAATCAATGCGGTTTGTGCAGGCGAGTTATACGGCCAGGCGTACGTAGTGTAGGGACCTAATCGTAACGATCAGTCAGACAATTAAATACAATTTCCTAATTAACTTTTTAATTAGTGAAAACGAAAATATGGTTTCAATTAGAAACTTGCTGAGTCATTGGAAACCACAAAATCAACTCTTTTTAGAAGGATATGCAGGGGTAGCCTTTTACGCGTTCTGTAAAAAACGCTTTATTTGGACGAGTTTCTAGGTTTCTGTTCCTTATCAGAGCTCATCTCTGCGCCCAAGGTCCTGTTCCCCCCTAGACACGCAACTCACGTGCAGAGACCGCGTAAATGTAGCTTTTACGGCTTTTTTTTTTAAATATCTGAAAAACATACAAATAAACACTATCTAGAATGTCCCCCAATACGATACGATTGTATGGTTCCTTTCCCGCTTGCATTGTTCAAGAAAGACATATGGACATGCAGCGTTTCATTGGAATGCTGGATGTCAGCGAGTCTCTACATCAGTGAGTGGTTTCAAACAAGCATGATGTTTGCACACCAGAAAGCTCTTATCCGAGGCTCACCAGGAGCACTAAGAGCAGAGGCGAAATGTCGTGACGTGGTAAAATTGTTTGTAGGTATTTATTTTTAGAAGACCTGCATGCAGCAAAGCTTAACTTTGCTAAAAAGATAATTAAAAATTCAATACTGAACAATGGTGTCCCTTGAGCTGTCAGACCAAACTTCCACTCTTGCCACTCAGGAGTTCCTAACTTGTGCGTAGAGGATCAGCACAACCCAGATTTGTGCTGCAAGCGCACCTGCAATATAGAAGTTGAATAAACATGAGATGAAATATGAGACGTTTACAATTCTCTGTAACGTGAAATTAGAGCACAGATCTTGAACAGGAGGATGGGAGGGTATGACCTCCCACCCCCTAACCCTCCTACTCTTCTGCTCCCTCCCCATTTAGCGGGAAATTTCCCTGAATTTATCGGGAAAATTTGCCCACCAAACTTAGCGGGTTAAGTTTTCCACTAAATTTAGCGCGGAAATTGATGTCACATGACCTCAACACAAATGCAGTTTTCCTGCTAAAAGTAGCGGGGAAAATGATGTCGTATGACCGTGTCATGTCATCCATAAAAACTTCAGTTTCTCAGCTAGACTTAGCGGAAATATTAACGTCACATGACCGCAACATTAATTCAATTTCCTGCCAAGTTTAGTTGGGCGGTTACGCCGACAGCGACGCAGCAAAACGCGGAAACGGGTGCTAAGAGCTGCGCTAAAAAAACTAAATGCATCAGGTGAAATAAAGTGAAAATTAGAGATAAGAAAAAGAAAAGAGATTCTAAGATCAGGTTCTCAGATCCTTCCTTTTGTCCGTTCTCAAATGTTTTGTTTCAAGAAATGTTTATATTTTCATTCATACCCAGAGAACCCCTCCCAGTTTCAGCATGAATGCAATAAATTAATGCAGACTAGACCTTGTAAACTATAATGCACATGAAAATGAATGTTCGCCACATAGTCATTCTTTATTCTTTATTCAGGTAGCTCCTGCAGCGCCGTTGAGGCATTATTGCAGGGGGCGAACAACATAGAAAAAAACATTTCTGCATTTGCGGCACAAACAGTTTCAACACTTAAATTGTTCCAATCCCTAATGGTCCTAACAAAGAAAGAATTTTTGCACAGTTCCGTCCTGGTGGAATATTCGCGTATTTTGTGGATATGATCTTTACGTTGGGAAATATAGTAAGGGGGTAGAAGGTAATGAAAACCATTAATACCAGTCTGTTTATTATAAATGCTATATAGAAATTTTAAGCGCAAATTTTTCCGCCTGAATGTCAGCAAATCCCAGCCTAATGTATTCTTCATGTCCGTGACGCTCGAAAAGCGGTCGTACAGTTCCACGACGAAGCGTGCCGCACGATTTTGGATCCTCTCTAAAGCGTCTATGTGATTTTGCTGAGCGGGATCCCACACAGTGCAAGCATAATCTGTAAGAGGTCGAACGTAGGTAAGGTATGCAAGTTCTTTTATTTTTTGTGTAGACCTTTTTAGATTACGCTGGATAAAACCGAGTGCCCGTCCCGCCCTCATGACGACATCGTTAATTTGCGCGTTCCACTTGCAGTCTGCTAATAAGGTCACCCCCAGCTACTTTACTTTACCGTCATTTTTTAGTGGTTCATTATTTAAATAATACTGAGTGTGAAGTTTATTTTTTTACGGGTGAAGGTGACATGTACACATTTGCTGACGTTTAACTGCAATTTTGATAAACTGCAAAAAGAGTTCAATTTGATCCAAATCAGCCTGCAGTTGTGTGGAATCCTCATCGTTTTTTATACATCTATATACAACACAATCGTCAGCAAACAATCTTAGCTGAGAGGTCACGCCAACGTGAATATCATTATGTATGAGTCAGTGGCTCGGATCTCTAAATACATTTGTATTGAGAAACATTCTTGACTAAAACTTCTCGGCTTTGAATACGACAGTTTGTACTTCCGTAAGGAACACTGTATGGCACTGACTTTTTTGTGACACATCAGAAACAACAGCAGTGTCATCCTTGCCTACCTAACAATTTTTTTTTAGCATGGCATGTGCTATTCTAATGCTTGTACAGCCTTTAACAAAATTTCCTTTGTAGAGCTTTCTATTGGTTCTTATTTAACTCGCACGACAGATTCGGTACCTTGAATTCTCACTCGGCATCAACAGTTTTATATATTAATGTAATAGGGAAAGACAAGATGTATGGTCTTGAGTACGGCTCAACAAGCACAGATGTTGAGAAAAGTACTGAAGAAAACTCAAATGTCAACATAAAAATAAGCTGGAATGTGGATACAATTAAGAACATGGTCATAAATACAGTAGCAGATTCAATGTGAAGAAAAAAGTGAAAGCCGTTTACAACTCCCTGTAACACCGAATTAGAGCGCAGCTCTTGAGGAGGAGGAGGGAAGGGTAGTGGGGGGGTGAAGTGACCTGGGGGGTCACGTGACGATGCCGATGATGTCATCAGTGACGTCACTGATGACGTCATCAGTGGCAATGACGATGCGGACTCCGATGACGTCATCAGCAATGATGACGATGACGATGTTGGTGACGTCATCAGTGACGTCACTGATGACGTCATTTGTGATGATGACAATGAAGATGCGGATGCTCCCCGAAGTCACGTGACACCCCCAGGTCACGTGACCACCCCCAGGGTCACGCGACCCCCACCGAGGTCACGTGACCTCCCCGATGACGTCATCGTCACTGATGACGTCACCGGCATCCGCATCCTCATCGTAATCATCACTGATGACGTCATCAGTGACGTCACTGATGACCTCACCGGCATCCGCACC